AAGTGTGTTGTCCAGAACTGGACACAATACTCAAGGTAAGGCCTAACCAGCGCTGAAGAAAGGTGGACTAGCACCTTGCAGTATTTGGAAACTATACTTCTAGTAATGCAGCCTAAAATAGCATTAGCCTTTTTTTGTAGCCACATCACACTGTTGGCTCATATTTAGCTTGTGATCTACGACAATTCCAAGATCCTTCTCGCTCATAGATTTGCTGAGCCAGATATCCTGTCTTGTAACTTTGCAATTGGTTTCTTTTGCCGAGGTGCAGTACTTTGCACTTATCCCTGTTGAATTTCATTCTGTTGCTTTCAGCCCAGTGCTCCATCTTATCAAGGTCATTTTGAATTTTGTTTCTGTCTTCTAGGGTATTAGCTATTCCTCCCAATTTGGTATCATCTGCAAATTTGAAAAGCATTCCCTGCACTCCCTCATGCAAATCATTATAAAAATATTGAAGAGCACCGGGCCCAGGAATAAGCCTTGGGGTACATGGTTACTAACATGGGCAATCTCTATCGTTCACTACCTTGGCTCAATTGGATACTTCCTCACTGTTATATCCAACCACTGAAAGCAATTGGTGGAATTGAAAAAAAAAAAACAGAAGCCAGTTGTTTTTTCTACAGGGCAATTTTTCAGTTTCCCAAGGAAAAAAATGGAAACATTAAGAAACACAGAAAGTAACCACAATATTTTTCTTTTGGAATGAGTGATTTTTTTAAAGACATTGGTTCACCCAAATAGCTGAGAGATGTATGGAAATCAGTCTGCAAAACTAGAGGACAGTAACTCCTATGCATACTGTAGACACAGTCCAATTCAGAGATGAGCTTCTGTACCTAATAGGTATGGCCATCTCTATGAAGGAAGCATATGGTAATCTTTAGGTGCTTTTAGACGGCTGGTTCCCTTCTTCCTTTATTCAGGTTGGTGGAAGACATCACAAATAATACTTTACTACAACATTTGTAGTTTGTTTCCACTCCCAGATGACAAGACGTAGACACATATGCTTACAATACTTTACTACAACATTTGTAGTTTGTTTTCACTCCCAGATGACAAGACTTAAAGACACATATGCTTACACAGTGTAAGATGCAGGTGTCTGTAGCTCTCACAGTAGCATAGTGTATAGCAATGATTTGCATGTCCAGAATTAAGGGATTTAATTTTTTTTTAATTCCATAAACACAGTAAATAATGCAGTTTCAGATGGTAAGTTATGAATGACACATTTTATATTGCTAAAACAATACAATAAATCTAGGCTTAGATATTCCAGATATTTCAATTTCTCTCCCAAGTTTCCATGTTTTTTTTTAAAAAAACACTACAGAGGTTTCACCATAATTCATAATTTCTTTACATCTCTACAGATTAAGAGTCACTGCTCAGGTGCAAGGACAGTATAAACTGTCAGTATAAGTGATACCTTGTGGTTGCCAACTGATCAACAAGAGACCTGCCTGACCTGCTGCCGCCAAGTTTTTTTAGCAGCCACTGGAGCTGCAGAAATCAGTCCACGACGCTTTTCCAGACTACTTGTAAGAGTAATGAACTGGCACCCTAGGGAGATGGCAAACCCACCAGGCCCGGACCACGCCTCGGGCTTGGGGGTTTCTTTCGGCTAAACTGACTCCAGAGTCAAAGGGTTCCTTCCTGGGAGGACGAAGCTCGTCGCGAGGAAAAGAATCAGAACGCCAGCAGAAGGCATCGCTCGCGCTCCAGGCTCGCGCCCCAAGAGGGACCCGAAGGGAACCGGAAGGCGGAAGCGCGAGACACGCTCGCCTTGGAGACACCGGAAATCAGGTAAAGGAATGATAAACACGGCAATGCGTTTCCAAACGGTTCTTTAATTCTTCCTGATTGGCAACGGGGAAGACTTTATTCTTTTCCCCCTCTCCTCATTCGTTATTTTAACTTCCCTCGCCCGCCCGCTTACCCCCCGCTTTCCAACTGACCCTGGATGTGGATGAACGATAAGCGGAAATGTATCACTCACCTTCACAAACCATAGACAAATCCAGACCGCTCTATCGCTTCCTCTTGTCTCCTCCTTTGGAGGAGCCCATCTTTGCTCCTTTATTGGCTGTTCGTTCGTGAAAGAGAGACGCCCCTTTAGCTGCGTTTCGCCTTGGCGTAAGAAGCGTTGAGCGGTTTAACCCTTTCGGGGCTTGGTTTCACCTCGGCCTCTCGAGCCGGTTTTTTCCCCCTTTCTTTCCTGCTCGTGCTTCTCGCCCCTCACGGCGTGGCGACTTCCTCTTGCAGCAGCTCGCTTGGGGGGTGGGGGTGTTCGAGCCCTTCCCTGACCTGTTTCGTCTCACAGAGGATATTTACTTGTGGATCAGGCCGGGATTGGAGTCCCATGGGGAGAACGGGCAACTTCCCCCAACGTTCATCCTTCCTGATCTTGCCGAAGTGGCTTTTAGACTTCTGAGCATGTGGAGAATGCCTCTCCCACCTCATGAGTACCTTCGTTCTAGTCGTTTAGTCGTGCCCGACTCTTCGTGACCCCATGGACCAGAGCATGCCAGGCCCTCCTATCTTCCACTGCCTCCCGTAGTTGTGTCAATTTCATGTTGGTTGCTTCGCAGACACTGTCCAGCCATCTCATCCTCGGTCGTCCCCTTCTCCTCTTGCCTTCACACTTTCCTAACATCAAGGTCTTTTCCAGGGAGTCTTCTCTTCTCATGAGATGGCCAAAGTATTGAAGCCTCAGCTTCAGGATCTGTCCTTCAAGTGAGCATTCAGGGTTGATTTCCTTTAGAACTGATAGGTTTGTTCTCCTTGCAGTCCAGGGGACTCTCAAAAGCCTCCTCCAGCACCACAGTTCAAAGGCATCAATTCTTCGGCGGTTTGCTTTCTTTATGGTCCAGCTCTCACTCCCGTACATCACTACAGGAAAAACCATAGCTTTGACTATTCGGACTTTTGTCGGCAAGGTGATGTCTCTGCTTGTTAAGATGCTGTCAAGGTTTGTCATCGTTAGAGTCCCCTAATATTTCCCTCCTTTAGCAGGAAATATAACTAAACTATGGAGGCAATGCCATCAAAGCTACCAACATGAATTTGACCTGACTCTGGGAAGCAGTGGAAGACAGGAGGGCCTGGCGTGCTTTGGTCCATGGGTTCACAAAGAGTCGGACATAACAACCAAACAACGACAATGGAGGCAATACGAGGTCCAGGGCTGTCAGTATGCATAAAAGGCAACAGCCAGAAGCAATTGGGTCATTCTCCAAAAATTTGCAGGTGTCGAGTACAACCTTGAAGTGATGGTTGTGTCTTAAATTGGGGTGGTTCACTTGTTTCATATCCTCAACATCTTCTGATTATAGTATTTCAGAAATCTAGAGTTATGTCCCCAAGAGAGAGAGAGAGAGAGACGCTGTTCATTCTGGGAAACTTTAACGCTAGAGTTGGTGCTGATCACAATTCTTGGCCCACTTGTCTAGGCTGGTTTGACACTGGAAAGATGAACGAAAATGGCAAACTTGCTGGAGTTTTTCTGTTACCATGGTCTTTGTGTCAGCAACATGTTCTTTAATACGAAGCTTCAACACAGAGTCTCTTAAAGCACTGGCATCAGCTCGATTTGATCCTCACTAGACACTCTAGCTTTCCTAGTATCCAATCATACACACTTATCAGGGTGCTGATTGCAATACTGATCACTCCCTGGTGTGTAGCAGAGTAAAACTGCAAATAAAGAGATTGTGTCACATGAAAAAGGAAGGAAGACCATGTATTGACATCAGCAAGACTCATGATGACAGAAAAGTGGTGTAATTTGCTCAAACGCTTGAGGAAACTCTTCCAGGCCCGGCTGTTGCAAATGCACCTGAATGATGGGAACATTTTAAAAATGCTTTTTATAACACCACCTTGTCCACATTTGGCAAGAAGACCAAAAAGATGGCAGACTAGTTTGAAGCGCATTTGGAGGAGTTGATGCGTAGGGAACAACAACAGCCACTCTTTGTGGCCTTCATAGATCTCACAAAGACTTTTGATTTGGTTAGCAGGAATGACCTTTTTAAAATCCTTCCCAAGATTGGATGTCCAGCTTCACTCCTTAACATCATCGGGGCCTTTCATTAGGAAATGAAGGGCACTCTAGTTTTTGATGGCTCAACATCAGATCCCTTTGACATCCAAAGTGGAGTGAAACAGGGCTGTGTCCTCGTTTCAACCCTATTTGGGATCTTTTTTGCAGTCATGCTGAAGCACCCCTTGGAACTGAAACAGAAGGTGTCTATCTCCAGACTAGATCAGACGGAAAGCTCTAATCTCTCTAGATTGAGAGCGAAGACCAAAGTCCAGCTGAAATGCATGCGGGACATCCTCTTTACTGATGATTCAGCTGTTGTTGCTCATTATGCTGAAGAGCTCCAACAACTTATGAATCATTTTAGCAAGGTGTACCAAAATTTTGGATTAACAATCAGCCTGAAGAAAACACAAGTCACAGGCCAGGCATGGACTCACCTCTCTCTGGTACCATCTCTACACAAGAACTGGAGGTTGTTCATGATTTTGTGTACCTTGGCTCAATGATCTCTGATACCCTCTCTCTAGATGTCGAGCTGGATAAACACATTGGCAAAGCAGCTACCATGTTCTCTAGACTCACAAAGAGAGTATGGCTTAATAAGAAGCTGATGGGATATACAGTACCAAGATCCAGGTCTATAGAGCCTGTGTCCTGAGTACATTCCTGTACTGCAGTGAGTCCTGGAGCCTTTGTGCACGGCAGGAGAGGAAGCTGAACACGTTCCATACGCATTGTCTCCGACACATTTTTAGTATCATCTGGTAGGACAAAGTTCCAAATAGAGTAGTCCTAGAACGAGCTGGATGAGAAGAGAAATTTCCCTGGAAAAGACCCTGATGTTGGGAAAGAGTGAAGGCAAGAGGAGAAGGGGATGACAGAGCATGAGATGATAGGATAGTGTCATCGAAGCTACCATCGTGAATTTGGCCAAACTCTGGGAGGCAGTGGAAAACAGGAGGGCCTGGAGTGTTCTGGTCTATGGTGTCACGAAGAGTTGGACACGATGTAGTGACTAAACAACAAGAAGAATGAGCTGGAATTTTTAGCATGTATACATCACTGAAACAGTGATGTCTGTGTTGGCTCGGGCATGTCATGAGAATGGCAGATGGTCGGATTCCAAAAGATCTCCTGTATGGAGAATTAGTGCAGGGAAATCGCCCCAGAGGGAGACCACAGCTGTGATACAAGGATATCTGCAAGCGGGATCTGAAGGCCTTAGGAATGGACCTCAACAGATGCGAAACCTTGACATCTGAGCATTCAACCTGGAGGCAGGCAGTGCATTATGGCCTCTCCCAATTTGAAGAGACCCTTGTCCAGCAGGCCGAGGCAAAGAGGCAGTCCCGAAAGCAGCAAAATCGGGGCTCGACTGGAAACAGATTGTATTTGTCTTCAGTGTGGAAGGGATTGTGACTCTTGAATTGGCCTTCTCAGCCACACCAGACGTTGTTCCAAGACAATGTCTTCAGAGCACATTACCATAGTCTCTCGAGGCTGAAGGATGCCTACACAGAGTAGTCTAACAATGCTCTCTATGTGGGGCTTCCCCTGAGGCTGGTCCAGAGACTCCAGTGGGTCCAGAATTCAGCAGCCAGGCTGGTGCAAGTAAATTTGACCACATCACTCCAGTTCTGACTTGACTCCACTGGTTACCTGTAGAGTCCCGGATTAGGTTCAAGTTTTTGATTCTCACGTACAAAGCCCCTCCATGATTTGGGCTCATGTTAGTTGGTGGTGGCGCTGTGGGCTAAACCACAGAAGCCTGTGCTGCAGGGTCAGAAGACCAAGCAGTCGTAAGATCGAATCCACGTGACAGAGTGAGCGCCCGTCGCTTGTCCCAGCTCGCGCCAACCTAGCGGTTCAAAAGCATGCAAATGCGAGTAGATTAATAGGGACCACCTCGGTGGGAAGGTAACAGCGTTCCGTGTCTAAGTCGCACTGGCCATGTGACCACGGAAGATTGTCTTCAGACAAAACGCTGGCTCTATGGCTTGGAAACAGGGATGAGCACCGCCCCCTAGAGGCGAACACGACTGGACAAAAATTGTCAAGGGGAACCTTTACCTTTATCTTTTTAGTTGACCGAGCGTCTGATTGCCTGACCCACCAGGTCATTGCAGACAAGGCTCTTCCAGGTGGCCACCCTGAGGGAAGCCCATAAATCTACGAGAGGTAAAAGATTCTTCTTCACTGTGGAATCCGCTCCTGGAGGAACTTCACCTGGCCTTCACCCTGGCAATGTTTAAGAGGCAACTGAAGACATTGGTTTTCAGGGAGACCTTCCATTTCGACCCTACATGACTTGCTGTACTTATATATCTCTGCTCAGTTATTTTATCTTTTTTTTCCTGTTGTAGGCAATTTTATTAATGCTCTGGGCTCTGTTTTTATATGGTTGTTCATGGTTTTATCATACTAACTATTTGATTCTGTATTTTATGTGAACTGCCCAGAGTAGTGCTGTGGCACTAGCAGGTATACTATATTAAATTTAAATAAATAAGTAAGAAGCACCTGTAAGGAAAGCCATGTGGATTTAGGTTTCTTTAATTGAGCACAGAAATCAATAGTAAGGGAAATAAAGTGAGTTAACCAACTGACTTATATCTTGGATAATGGGAAGGTACAACAGTTTAAATTTTGTTTAAACTATGCACTAACCACTTCTAGGTTAATTTGCTATTTAAACTAATTTG